ACTTGCCCAACTGGCATGTTCCCTCCCTCCTGGTTGTTCGTTCGGGAGCTTCAAAAACTTTCTTCTGCCCAAACATCACAGTGACCGATGCCAACCGACACCGGCACACTTAGGGATCTGCAGAGTTTGCGCAGTTGCGTAACAGACCTCAGCAACTCAGCATTTTGGCTTATCTACTTTATTTACATCTAAACACACATGGAGCACTGCAACATAGCTCCCTCTCTCTCTCTAGCATCAGACAGCAAAGAGAAAAAACAAAGGACAACAGTCCCACTTCACGGAATACAGTAACACAAACATCTTGTCTCCGTCACTTCCCACTTTGTTGAGTCAAAACACATATCGTCATGTGATAGACAAAAATCCTATGACTGCAATCATGGAACAGGAATTCTAACAATGCCATCCCTGACCATTGGCCATGTTGGCTGGGGGCTGGTGAGTACTTGGTGCTGTACAAACATGGAAAATGTCCTAGTTAGGTTGCCTGGTTAGGAAACCTAGTTACGTTTGCACTATCCCCAGAAAAAATCTTCACAAACACACTTCACACTACAGTAATTTAGTATGTGCAGGCAAAGTAATTTGTGGACTCTGTGGACATATTAGGATGTTTAAGGCATATTGTGCAGTTAATTAACTGCACACAAAACAGGAAAAGAAATTTCCTACCAGCACAAACCTGAGTTACAGTATGTTTGTTGGTATACTTGTTCATTTATTCCCAGTCAAGTTCCCCCTGCCAAGTGACAAATGATGTCCTCAGCGGGGCCAAATTTTATAATCATGAAAGAAATGAAGACGTTAGGACAGGCATAGGCAAACTCTGGCCCTCCAGATGTTTGGGACTACAATTCCCATCATCCCTGACCACTGGTCCTGTTAGCTAGGGATGATGGAAATTGTAGTCCCAAACATCTGGAGGGCCGGAGTTTGCCTATGCCTGCATTAGGGCATTGCTTCTCTGCCCAGCTAGTGTTTTATCCTTGATTTTTGCTCTTTCTTTAATCTGATTCCTTTTAGGGCTATCCATAAAATAGTCTTAAAGAACTTATTGGAGTGGGAACAGTGTTTGCCCACCAAATGCCTGATGGAACAGAGCACTCTATAAGTTATGCAGCAAGATCACTGGCCCCAGTGGGGGAAAAAAACCCTCTTCACAATTAGAACTTGAAAGGTTCCATTCATATCTTTATGGCAGACATTTGGTAATACAATCAGATCAGAAACCCCTCCAGGGTCTGCTGGGAGAGACAAAGCCAGTGCCCCAATGGCACCTGCTAGAATCAAGAAATAAGCCTTGATGTCTGCATATGACTACAGATTTGAATATGAACCAGGTCAAGCCAATAGGTAACACTGATGCCCTTAGCAGACGTCCACTACCAGATAAACCAAAGTTGGTACCTCAGTGGCCTGAAACTGTTCATGTTGAACTGATATCCGCATCCCTGACAGATGCAGCAAAGAATAAATGGGAGAATGAGCAAGTGCAAAGAATGGTAACAAAAGGATGGGGAAACACAGAATGACAACCTTACTATTAATGCAGGGCATCCTTGAATATCCAAGAAAGATGGGGTCTCAAGTAGCAGTACCACCAGGGAGTTGGTCTGCTGTTGTGAAGTTGTTGCATGAAGCACATCCTAGCATTGTATGGTTGAAGGAATTAGTATGTAGCTATGTGTGGCAGCCAGAAAGAGACCAGTGGATTGAGTCTGTCGTGTGATAATGTGGGGCTTGTCGATCTACACAACATGCTGCTCCAAAAGCACTCTTACACCCATGAGAATGCCCACCATGCTCTTGGTCAAGGCTTCACATCAAGGGCGCTGGCTCCTGGGGACTGAGGCACTATGGCCCCCCAACTTTTTTCTTTTCTTTTTTGAGGTGGCTGGGCTTCCTCAATATTCAGAGGGTCTCATGTGCGATGTCAGGATGTCATGTTGAGCCCCCAAAATCATCCAGAGAACCTTGCGCCTCTGCTTCACATACATTTATTATGCTGGCCCATTTGTGGGAAAAGGTTCATAATAACAACAACTGATTCTTCCAAATGGTTTGAAGTTCATATAATGCTATCCATTACCACACTTAAGTGACTGTTGATCAATTCCACTTTTCTTTTTCTGTTTTTGAATTGCTGGAGGTAATGGTCAGTGATAATGGGCCACAATTTACAGGTGCAATTTTCCAAGAATGTATGGAGAAAAAGCACATCAAGAATACAATATAAGAATTGCACCACATCACTCAGCTTCCAATGACCTAGAAGAAGAAAACAACATGAACTGTTTAAGAGGGACTTTAAAAAAAGGCATGTGGCACCTTAAATAATAAGTTAGACAGATTCTTTTTTCAGTATTGTGTCACACCACATTCTACTACAGGGAAATTGCCAGCAGAACTGCCAATGGGTAGGAAATTGCATACACACTGAGACACTCTTACACCCTGATGAGGCTGTTAAGATGTGCAAGAAACAGGGAGAACAAAAAATCCTGCTATGGATTAAAAGGAACATCAAGGAGACTAGCAGTGGAGCAGCTAGTTGATGCCCTCAGTTTTGGGAATGGATTTCATTGAGTGGCAGGTTGCCTCACAGCACAGACAAAGCCTCTTCTCATGGGCGGTGGAATTGCCAGAATGAAATTCAGTGACATCATGATCAAGTGTATTCATAGCATGAAGAAGAGCTTCCTGCAGAGGTGGATGAGTGAATCAATGTGGAGCTATTACCCTGTTCATGTCACACAACCAGAGAGACTGAAGGGTCCACAGTCCCTGAACCAGATCATACTATTGTGTGTTTCCTGCTGAGCCATATTCAGAAAGAACATCCATTGCCACCTGTGGATGATCCAGGAATATTTGCAGTATGCCATTTAAAAAGAACCTCCAAGCCCAGCGAGAGGCTGAATTTATAATTGCAAGAGATTTTGGGTGTCGAGACCAATGCATCTGATATATCTATATATACAGAGAGAGATTACTACTTGTTTTTTTCCGTTTCTCTCTCTGTACTTATTGCCGCTATATAGATTATATGTTGGCAGTATAAACTAAGGGAGGAGGAGTTTAAGATATGTTTATGTGGTTGCCATCTAGTGACCAAATAAAACCAGCTACTATTTCAACTCACTGGTATAAACTACACACTTTATAGGGACCACACAGCAGCTCCCATCAACACAGGGTGCCATGAAGGAAGCAGCAGCTCAAATGAATATTCAGCCTCCAGGCCTCTCGGCCCTTTTTTGGTTTTTTTTAAGGCCACATAAATAACAATTATTTCTCTCCCAGGGTGGAAAACTGAAGAAGAAAGGGAAACTCCTGGGAGAGAGCTGGGAGGGTCAGCTTCTTCCTTTGTGAGACAAGAGTTAAGATCTACCTGTGAGAGAGGACTTTGCATTCTTCTCTCTCTCTCTTTTGCTTTTATTTTTGTTTAGATCAGTTTTTTTATTGTAATGTATTATAAAAGTCTTAATAAAAGCTTACTTTAAAAATTATGTAAACAAAATAATAATAATAATTCTTTCTCTCCTTTATTAAGACCAATTTGGTCATATTCTAAACTCAGGATTATCAAAGAGCCTTTCTTTTCCAGACAATGAAACTTGTTGGTCATTTGCTTATGGTACCCAATACAGTGGTACCTCAGGTTACATACGCCTCAGGTTACATATGCTTCAGGTTACACACTCCACTAACCCAGAAATAGTGCCTCAGGTTAAGAACTTTGCTTCAGGATAAGAACAGAAATTGGGTTCCGGCGGCGTGGCAGCAGCAGGAGGCCCCATTAGCTAAAGTGGTGCTTCAGGTTAAGAACAGTTTCAGGTTAAGTACAGACCTCCGGAACGAATTAAGTACTTAACCCGAGGTACCACTGTACTCTGGCACAAGCTCAATGCCTTTCTAGATCGTGCCAGAAAATACTTGTACAAAAACATGGTGGCTAAAAAAAGGACCTTCATTCAGAGCATCTTTGGATAGAGAGCAGTTTTTGAATATGACACAGGATATCTTACACATAAATAATGACACAGAAGGAAGTGTGTGGCAGGCACAAGTTTCTCCCTCCTGTTGCTGCAACAGGAAAGCAGTAACAAGTCCAAGTTCTGTCTTCCACTGAGCTGTTAACAACACAGGGATCCTGTGTCACGTTGCATCAGGAAATCTCATCTGTGCTTGATAACGCTTAGCAGAAATAATGAGCAGATTCAAGCAAAGCCAATACCAATTACCGACATTTTGCAGTGAATTAACAGAAACAGCAGAGGGACATCTGAAGACATGGATGGCCCAACTCGCCACATGGTAGCTGTCTGCCGGAGTATGGTGTTTAGTTTGAGTCTAAAAAGGCAGGGGATTTGGTTTCTTGCGTGATCTTTGTTTTGGTGACTCTCTAGTAGTATTAACTAGATGTATGTCTTAACATCTAAAAAAATATATATGTTTGTGATAAATGAAGATACGTACAGGGAGCCGACAGAGAGTATGAGAGTGGTTTTTCTCAGGGGTGGGATACTGAGGAAGGAGAAGCTCTCCCAGGTGGGAGGTGGAAGGGTTCAAGTCTCTGTATGTGTGGAGATTAAGATAAAGCAGTTCTCCAGAATTTCAGGCAGGAGCATTTCCCAGCTCTACCTAATGCCAGGGATTGAACCTGCTTTGTTTCCCAATCTCTGATTGTTAGCAGTTCTCCAGGCAGTATGGAGTATTTGAAAATAGCCAAGGATTGAAAGGGAAACATTCTCTCTCTCTCTCTTTTCGGGTGCAACTTTCTGCAGCCCCAGTGAGTCCCTGCAAAAGACAGTCCTAGGTTGTGGAAACTTCTTTGCAGCCTATCACCAGGCAAAGGAAGCTACTTTGTCCCCCTCTACATTGCCCTTCTAATCTCCAGTGGAGTATAGCCTGTTTACTTCCTCTGTGAAATCCAGTGGAGTGAAATTGCTTGAGAAAGGGAAGGAGGGAGGCAACAAAAGCTGGGGGAAGGGTTAGTCTTAGCTCAGTGGTAGAGCATCTGTTTTGCATGCAGAAGGTCCCAGGTTCAATCCCTGGCATCTCCCGGTTAGGTCTGGGTGAGAATCTTGTCTGAAATATTGAAGAGCCTCTGTGAGTCAGTGCAGACAATACTGAGCTAGATGGACCAATGGTCTGTCTAAGGCAGCTTCCAAGGTTCCAATGAACACCTCTTCCCTCTTTACAGAGGTGCAATGTTGGTCTAGCATTAAGCCACTCGAATGGATGGCCCTGCTTACCCAAAGGAGGTGTCTGAGCATGGGCATGGTTATGGAAGACTACGTCTCCTTAGCAGCTGTCCATCAACTTGGCCTGATGTGCTCAACCTCCTTCCCTCCCCACATCTCTGCTCTGCTGAGTAGCTTCAAGCAGGGAGGAGGAAGGAGAGGAGGCAGAAGTTAGAAGAAGGAAGGGAAAGAACTGGAAAATGCAAAATACATTTAATTTTTAGGGTATATATCTGTAATGCATTTCCCATGAAAAATGCAGAACCACCACTACTTAGTACTGGCTGTGATTGTTCATGAAACTTTCAGTTTTGCTGAAAGAGAGTCACCAGGAAGGGCAGAGTTACAGGAAGTCCTGTCGGGTGATCAATGTGTATACAAAACACAAAGGGCAACCATTTCCCTCCCCAAGCCTACCTAAATGGCACCACTGTTACGAGATCTGCCTGACACATAAATTAATATCGTTATTAAAATTACCATTTACACAGTATGCAGGAAAAAATTCCATAATATTAATTTCCCTCGGCAGTCATTCTGAGTTCATTACATGGCAAATTAATTTATGCTTTGTGTGGTTAGGAAATCTCAAGAGAATAGTCTTTCACCGATCAATAGATATCTGATGCACAATGGCTGTATACTATAATTTAATTATGGAGTTTCAGCACACTCATTTCCTAGGTATTTCATGTCCAGATTTCATAATGTGGAGCACATCTCCTAAACAGCGTCCTCTTATGACACAAGGACCCCATATCCACTGAGCAGTCATCTGTTTAGGGACAACGAGCCCACTCTCCCTCCACTGGTGTCGAAGTTCTTGCCTAATGAAGGGTCCCAATCCAGCAACAGAACTGCATGCATGTATAGCCTTGGCCTTGAGACCACATGGGCAACATCTGTTTGCCCATGTGGTTCTTGTGCCAGTTGACTGATTATGCACACATGTCCACCTAGCTGGATCAGTTGATTTAACAATGACTGGCAACACTTTAAGAAATATCAGCTGCTGAATTAAATGTCTGGGCCTTGACCACTGTCATGCAGTAAAACAGGTTTTCACAGTCCTGTGTAGTTGCCAGTATACTACCAGGGTGCAATAATTTTTATATTCTGGGCTCCTCCAGTCTCTTACTTTGCAAACTGCAAAAGACCTGCTTGTTTTTACGTTGATTTGTTGCACTAGGGCGACAGAACGCTTTAATCCACTCTAAATGCATAAGCAGATCCATACCACCCATTTAAAACACATTCAAAATGCATTTTTATTATTTATTAAATGTCTATACTACCCTTCATCCAGAGATCACAGGGAGGTTTACACATACACATTGTTGCACGGTACCCCAATCTTGAGCGGCACAAGATTCCAGAGAGTCCAGGTGCCTACCCAGGGTTTGTGTTTTCTTTGGAATGGGGTACAGCAGCAACTGTGGTGTTTTTATGATTTATGGTTTATTTATGCACACAGTCGTACCTTGGAAGTTGAACAGCTTAGTTCCTGAACGTTTTGGCTCCCAAACATCGCAAACCTGGAAGTGACTGTTCCGGTTTGTGAGCTATTTTTGGAAGCTGAATGTCCGACTGGGCTTCTGCAGCTTCTGATGGGCTGCAGGAGCCTCCTGCAGGGTCCTCCCTTAAAAAGGGCACATATTGCAGTGAGACCTGGAAACTGACACCCTGTGTTGTGGGTGGGTACGATTGGTCAGCCACAACACCCGATTGGTAGGTCCCTCATAGCTGGGTGCATGGGACGCAGTCCAAACGGTTCAAGGGACCTATTTATGCCCATGCACGTGACCCAGAGCTTCCTCTTTTGGCGCGTGCATTCCGAACACCCGCCCACCTCTCCCTATATTTAGGGCTTGCATGCTTGACCTTGCTATGCCGTCATGTATCGTCTGTCGTTGGGACAGGGGCATGGCAGGAATTTCCCCCACTTGGCTGATTGGCTGTTGCCATTTGGGTTTCGCCTGCCACGTAGCAAATCATCACAACTTGTAAGGTTGCAGATAGGCTCTGGTTCAGGTGATAGGGATGGGAGAATGCTCTCGCCATCCCTATGTGAAGGGTATTCCATTAAAGGAATCCAGTGACTCAAATGGTTTGGTCAACCCCTGAGAGGGGGTTGTACCTGTGCCAGAGTCCAGGGGGACATCTGGGTGGCAGACATAGTCCGTTCCCGACTTTTCGCTTATCCAGGTGTTCACCCTTGGCTGACCTATGCTGTATCCCTGGGTCAGCACTACTTGCATGGCAGGGAGCTAGTTGAACCAGAGCCTATGCAACCAATCACTTTATGTAATCAATAAAGTTGTGGCCTAAATTCTGCCAAAAACCAAAACCAAAATTTGAGTCAAGTGTGAATTTATTTAGGGGGGAGGTTTCTGGGTCTGAACACGCAAAAGCCTTAGAGAAAACAGACCCTCAGGTAAACTTCCCCTTCCAAAAGGGATGGAATGCATGGAATGCTGATTGACTGTTAGTGAAGGGGCAAGGAGAAGAAATGGAATTTCAGGAAAGGGCAGTGTTTCACTTAAATAGGAGCAATCCACACTGTAGCATTTTATACTTATGGATTCTGTCCTTGGCAAAAAGAAAAAAAAGGTTAGCACTTTTCTTTTTTGCAATCTCAGCTAAAGCTACTTTTCACAAAGGTATAATTTAAATGCATGTACATGAAGAACATTATTACTTGGGTGCTAAAAAATGAAACTCTTGATGACTGTTCCTTGCACATCTTGCAGCCCCCATTTTCAAGAGGGACGGAGGCTCATGGGAAAGTTATTTTCCTTTTTCCAAGTGCTCTGCTTTCAAGGAATGCTGGTGTATAAATGAAATGCAGCAGTCACATGCGCTACAGACCATGGGGCTTCAACTGCTGCTTCTTCATGCAAATGAAATATTAATTTGCTGGCATTTTACCTTTGACATAATTACAACTTCTTACGTGGTGTGGTTAGAATAGAAAACATTCCCCATATAATGAAATAGAGTGTAGTGACAGCTTTCAATCAAATACTAGTTTACGTTGCACCTAGAGACTTGAAGGACTTGCTTTCATTTATGAGGAATAAGCAAAGTGCATGAAATATTAGCGCCAGATATCATGACCAATTAAGATCAGATGCCACGTATGATCCTAAGCAGTAAGGAAAGGGCTGTTGCTCAGTGGTAGTGCATACAAGACTTTGCACACAAAAGGTCCCAGGTTCAAACCCCAGCATCTCCAGGTGGGATCAGGAATGTCATCTGTCTAAAACCCTGGAGGCCCACTACTGGTCAGAGTGTGGACAATACTGAGCCAGATGCACCCAAGGTCTGACTTGGTATCAGGTAGCATCCTTTGTTCCACAAAATAACCATATTAGAGAAAGACTTATTAATAACCTGTTCCAAATGTTTCTTTTCTGACCATCACCACACCTTCCCACCAAACCTGTTAGCTATTGCTAAGAGAAGATAGTAGATTGATGAGGCTGATGTATAGTACATACAGTATTTTTTGCTCTATAAGACTCACTTTTTCCCTCCTAAAAAGTAAGGGGAAATGTGTGTGCGTCTTATGGAGCGAATGCAGGCTGCGCAGCTATCCCAGAAGCCAGAACAGCAAGAGGGATTGCTGCTTTCACTGTGCAGCGATCCCTCTTGCTGTTCTGGCTTCTGAGATTCAGAATATTTTTTTTCTTGTTTTCCTCCTCCAAAAACTAGGTGGGTCTTGTGGTCTGGTGCGCCTTATAGAGCGAAAAATATGGTAAATGATTCCCCCAGTGCACATTATATTGGTTACCTGCAGATGATTATGGGGATTGAAAAGAACTCAGAATTGGAATATATTATAAACAAATTCTATCACCACATTTATATTATATTATATTATATTATATTATATTATATTATATTATATTATATTATATTATATTATATTAATTTGTATATCACTCTTTATCCATAGATTTCAGGGTGGTTCACAACATAAAATTACAAAAGCACAAAATACATAAAAAGAACAAAAACAAACCAATAATCTCCCCTCCCAAACCTGTATGGCATTTACTGGGAAATTATTAGCCAATGAGCAATCCAAAAGGTTTAATTCTGAAAAGTGGCTTTCAGCTTACCAAATGAATGAAATGAAAGCTTCCAGTCACATTGGAATCTCTAGCTAGTCATATATCAGATATACTTCTGAAACGTGGCAAGTCAATCTTTTTTTAAGGGTTTTTAGAAATATGGCAACCCTACCAGAGACAGTAAAATCCTTCTTCCAGAACTCAAAAGAGTGACAGCTGAGATCTCCAGTTAAAACAAAAACCATTCTGAAATGTATCCATTCTGTTGGAACCCCGTACGGTTATCACAGCTCATGTTAAAGAAAATGCATAGCTCTTCCAAGTTCTCAAACATCAGTGTTCTAAGTAGGAAAAAAAACTCCACACTGTGTTTTAGGGCATAGACATACTACTAGCATCATGTTTGAATTTAGCCTTCCAAGCAAATGAGTCCATGACTGGCCTTTCACAAGATCAGATAAATAAAAAAATGAAATACTAAAAATGTACCCATGCCTGTTTGCATAAAGAAAGAAAAACTCCATCATGGCTTAAAATTAGCCAGAAAAATTATCTGATGTGGTTTGGGAAAGAAGAACTGCAGGCTAAAAGGGAACAGCAGCACATTGAAAGAACAAAAGAGTTATTACATTATATAAGTGTCGGATCATTAATTGGATGCCCTACAGTGTGGAAGAGCTAGTCACCTCCTAATTCTGGAATAGCCTGCTGCCCTTGAACTGGTTACCCAAGCCTAATTATACG